TAGGCGCTAAAACACTAACATACTGACAAGTTCTTTCGCTGCCTATGGCCGGGTACCCATCCCCACCCGGGCGAAGTGAGGAAAATTCGTCTAAAGTGCCTTTCCCAAGGACACAAGGCCGGGCCCGCGGCTTGAACCCCCGGACCACTAGGCCACCGACTCCACAACTAATAGAGCGAGTTCCAACAATGAGGTGTTCTTTGTGAGGGAGGGACTTTGCAGCCTTATGCCTTATACTGATTATCTTCCTTAGTAACAAGTTGAAGTTTTGCACAATGGAATGGTTTGGGCTGCCAACTGTAGAAGTTTTAAGCCTTAACCCTATCTGTACGTCGTGTTTTACTATCGTAGCCATACGACGTGGGGAACTCTGTGCCACCACCAGGCGCGGTTCGTCCATAGAGCACGGTCGTGCAGTGCCGCCCCAAATTTTTTAATATTCTATTACGTAAAACACCCTCATTAATAAAATAAAAGAAGCCAGAAACAAACACTAGTCACATATTATATCAAAACAAAGGTCCTCACTGGCGCCATCATTTCTATGTCTATAGCGCCGTAAAACATCTACTATGCCATGCCAAAGTCCACGCGCTTTATCTAAACAGAAAAAAATATTCAACAGTGTAACCTGACCTATAAAACGCTCTTGGGGAATAACCCAAGCGATGACGACACTCGTAGCGAGTTTGGCGGTACATTAATATTAATAAGCCGGCACATCTCAAATGTGCTCCTACCGAATAGTGCCGAAACATAGCCCACAGTAGGCAGTCTAAAAATAAACACGATAGACCCTACGCTATTCTTTGCCAATATTATGTGAGCCCCGGAGCAATCCAGCGGAGTGCTCAAGTGAATTGTGATTGGTTCATTGTTTGTTTTGCCACTAGCCTATTTTAAGTGACTATGTAACCGTGAACCTGAAGGAGGTGAACGTGACCGTCCTATGAGTTGTGCCTTTGAATGGTTTTGTACTGGAGTAGTGAAGGTTATTACATACACCTGAGAGTTCAGTTTCAATACAGGATGAACGAAATTGATGTTCAGCTAACAAATAAATTTAGTAATAGAAATCGAAGTGACTAGTAAAAAGAATGAAAATAAAAGCACGAGGCCCTCCCTCACCAACCCAAAGATCCTAAAATTATACACCATCTCATTTACTATGCCCTTGACTATCTTCAGCATGCGGTGGCTTTATAATTATTGTGCACGCCCACTTTTTAGTCCCTCGAGCGCCCCTGGCCACCACTTAACCCTATCCACGTCGTGTTTTGCTATCGTATCCATACGACGTGGGGAACTCTGTACCACCACATAACCCTATCCGCACGTCGTGTTTTACTATCGTATCCATACGACGTGGGGAACTCTGTGCCACTACTTAACCCTATCCGCACTTCGTGTTTTACTATCGTATCCATACGACGTGGGGAACTCTGTGGAACCACTTAACCCTATCCGTAAATCGTGTTTTACTATCGTATCCATATGGAGTGAGGAACTCTGTGCCACCACTTTCAAAGAGGAAATTTACTCGTTAATCCGATCAGTACGCTTTGCCTAGCAGTCTGTCACGGTGATTTTTTTTAGAAATACTCAAAGTTTCAAAGAGATCTCCCTACTAGAAGTATTAAAAAATGTGAAGAATACAACCCTGGGCGTAGGGATAGGGTTAACTGGCACACTTATAGACCGTATAGGAGGCGGATCACTTCAACCCTGTCCCCGATCTGGGCCAAATCGGAATGAGAGGGATGCAACTTCCGACAGACAGATAGATATCACCATCATCTTTGCCTGTCTCACCCTGCACCAGGGTATAGGCCACGGACAAAACCCTGCACCAGGGTATAGGCCACGTATAAACACTTTCTCACCCTGCACCAGGGTATAGGCCACGTATAAACACTTTCTCACCCTGCACCAGGGTATAGGCCACGTATAAACACTTTCTCACCCTGCACCAGGGTATAGGCCACGTATAAACACTTTCTCACCCTGCACCAGGGTATAGGCCACGTATAAACACTTTCTCACCCTGCACCAGGGTATAGGCCACGGACAAACACTTTCTCACCCTGCACCAGGGTATAGGCCACGTATAAACACTTTCTCACCCTGCACCAGGGTATAGGCCACGTATAAACACTTTCTCACCCTGCACCAGGGTATAGGCCACGTATAAACACTTTCTCACCCTGCACCAGGGTATAGGCCACGTATAAACACTTCCTCACCCTACACCAGGGTATAGGCCACGGACAAACACTTTCCACCTTTCTCTGTCCTGGGCTAGCCTCTTGGTGTTATTCCATTCTTCCCGCTTTTCTGTACATCGATAAACATACTCGATTAATAAAAAAACAGCAACAAAAACAAAACAAAACAAACAAACAAACAAACAAACAAACAAACAAATAACCAAACAAACAAACAGACAAACAAATCAACAAACCGACTAACCTCACAACGTGGAAATCGAATTTCCATCTTCTGCTTGTGACTGCAAAGAGATTAATTGCCTAAAAGGGCAGAAGATATTCGGAGACGTCTCCGGCGAGCACCCAGGAACTATTCGGAGACGTACTTTAGCACACAGATGCACTGCTTTGAGGAGGTCAAACTGCGTATCGTTGGCTGAGGATCACACATATAGCTACTAAAACTGTTGCAAATAAATTATTTTCAAGAAAATTTCAAACCTAACTGCAAAATATGAAATTATGGGTTAAAACAAGCCCCCCTGCAACCCCCCCCCCCCCCCATATTGCTTTACTTGGTCCAGAGGCACAAAAAAATGAGATTGATCTACCTCCGTCGGATAGATACTGCGCCTAAAAGCTCTAGTCGAGGTCACTATGTGGAACTTGCTTGACCTACTAAGCATAGTCGGAGTCTCCATTATCAGTGGGACCAACATAGTGGCAACCATAACGTCAAGCGTGAAAGACAGTTTGATCTAATTTTAACCCTATCCGTACGCCCTGGGGTCATTTTGTACCCACGGGGTTGTATTCTTCACATTTTAGAATACTTCTAGTTCGAAGATCTCTTTGAAACTTTCAGTATTTCTCAAAAAATCATTTTGACAGTCTGCTATGCAAAGCGTACGGATCAGACTAACGAGTAATTTTCCTCTTTGGAAAGTGGTGGCATAGAGTTCCCCAAGTCGTATGGATACGATAGTAAAACACTTCGTACGGATAGGGTTAAGAAGGGAGACCTCAACTTTGCTTGATAACTTTCGTCTGACCGCGGTTAAAACAAGGTAAAAAGAAATCGCTCCGTTTAAGGGAGGGGGGCGAGGGTACACCTGAAGGCTATCTCGCTTATTATTAGTTGACCAAATTTTACCAAATTTCATACATATAACAAACATAGTAAGGAGTCTTAAAATCCGTAATCAAATGTAAAAAAAAGTTTCGTTTTTTTAAAGACGGCGGCCATGTTGGATTTTGTTGATATGACTTACATAATGAGTAGACCTACCGCACATATTTTTCATGGAATTTAATTTTGTGGGGTTTTTTCATGTAGGTTAGCAAATATTATATCTAAAAATGTGTCCGTTGATATTTTTCTAAACGAATTAGAAGATGATTTTTAATTAGTTTTTTTCCTGAGGTTCAAGTTTGCCTAGAAATCCGTGAACATCCACACTCAAGACACCACCAACAAAAATCTATTCCATATATCCAAAAATTCAAATAAATGACAAATTTTTAGTATTACATCTTTTGTTAATTATGTGAAAATAAGAGTTCCAATAACAAGTAAGACCATTGAGGAATTAGCTCCCCAGAGACATCACATCACTGACGAAATTGCTGCAAAGGAGGCCTGGGGCATAGTAGTTAATCAAATTGTTGACCGTTTCTTGAAGCAAAATAAAATCAATACACGATCTCCAAATTCCATGACTATCTAAAGTCGTTTCTTTTTTAAATTATAAATTTTCTCTAAACAGGTAGAATGAAGAATATCTCATTTACTATGCCCTTGACTATCTTCCACTTATTTTAACCCTATCCGTACGTCGTGTTTTACTATCGTATCCATACGACGTGGGGAACTCGGTGCCACCATTTTCCAAAGAGGAAATTAATTTACTCGTTAATCTGATCCGTGGGCTTTGCACAGCAGTCTGTCAAAATGATTTTTAAAAAAAGAAATACAAAAAGTTTCAAAGAGATCATCGTACTAGAAGTATTCTGAAGTATGAAGAATACAACCACAGGGGTACAAAATGACCGTACGGATAGGGTTAACCTTATTGTGCACGCCCACTTTTTAGACCCACGAGCCACCCTTGGTAGCAAGTGCCTTAAAACTCTTACTAAAACTAAACAAAACTTTGAAAAACAATTCCTCCTATATTCTCACCCCTGGTAAGAATAACTCACCCGTTATTCTCACCCCCCACCCACCCATCCCTGTGTGAACATGTTTCCTCGTGCAGATCTAGGCCAACTACTGATTCACGTTGCCATAGATAGCCTTAATTTTTTAAAAATCAAATAGCCTTCTTAAAATTAGGCTATAATTGTCAGTATCGGTAGATCTAGGTATCAGATGCGTTCTGCTCTTGACATTTCGTTCTTGCATGTAATTTTAACCATAGATCTAGATCTAGTGTAGCTTCTTTTTTCACTGCTGTTTGCTTTTCTTGGTGTGGAATGGCCTTCACCCAGCCCTTTAAATAAAATAAACCTTAAACTTGTCTAGGTCTGTACAACTTATAAGTTATTCTCTGTGCTGATCTGTGTGAGTGTGTGTGTGTGTGTGTGTGTGTGTGCGTGTGTGTGTGTGTGTGTGTGTGTGTGTGTGTGTGTGTGTGTGTGTGTGTGTGTGTCTGGGCTATAGCACACCTGAGGAGGGGGAGGGGGTGAGAAAAGAGAGAAACAAGGGTGACATGCTATTCTCACTTCCTTTTTAAAAACCCCACCCTCCTCTATGTCTATTTACCAGACGCCCAGATGTTTCCTCCAAGAGACATGTCCGGCTTCCCACCCCCTCCCCCAGGCCCAGGCTTTCCTCCACCCAGATACGAGGTAGAGAAGGACAGCATCAACGCAAACAAGCTGAAACAGCAGCCTGGAACCCAAACCAAGGCGCCCAACGGCACAGCACTACCGCCCCCACCACCACAGCCTCGTTACACGTACGAGTACGACATGATAGAGCCACCCCCTCCACCAACCCCGCCCCCTTTCTTCCCTCAAGCCCCGCCCCTTGCTCAAGAAGCTCCACCCCTCTCCCCACAACCCAATTACATCGCTCCTCCTCTCGCCCTCCCTCCCCTACCTGCTCCAAATCTTGCTCCTCCTCTTCTAAACTTCCCCTCAAACCCCGCCCCTCCCCGCCCTTACTTCCCAACATATCCTCAAAACTACAACACGTTCTCCAACCAAATAGCTCCGAAACAGTACTACCCCCTCCCACCATCTCGCCAGCCACTTTTCCCCGCACCTCGTCGACAAACACCCCTCCTCTCCTCCTCATCCTCCTCCTACTTCCCACAAATCCCGTCAAGATGGCCGTCCTACGTACCCCAGAGAAACTTCCTAAACTCCTACCCGAGAAGAGCTCCAGTCTTCCGTCTTCAGAGAGACAAAGGACTAAGCTTGCTTCTGCGCATGACGCCTTTCACCACGCCACAAAAGAGACGTCAGCAAATGCTGAACGTTCTATTGATCCTCTCGGCGGAAGAGCTCCTCTGCAAGACGCTGTATGATGCACAGAAGTTGGAGCATGCGACCTACTACCCATCTCAGTGTGGCAAGCGGCCTAACTGCCCGGTACATTTGAGCAACTTCATGCAGATAGGGCAGGTGTGCGTGTGTTGCCCTGTGGAAGGTGAGTAGCGCGCTTGTTGCTTGTACTGATGTACTGGAGTAGTTGTGTCGTTGACGTGTCTGTTGATGTTAAAAGTGTTGTTGCTGTTGTTGTGGTTGCTGTTTTTGTTTGTTGTTGTTGTTGTTGTTGTTGTGTGTGT